GAGGGGAGACAGGAGAGCACTTTTCAAAGTCTTGGAAAGTAGCCCTACAGTGGAGGGGCCGGATCTGTCCTCCAGCATCCCCGAGCGCAGGACACGCAACCATGGGCTCAAGTTGTAGGATGCCCGGTTTCGGCTGAATGTCAGGGAAAAAAACTTCCTAATTGTTAGAGGAGTACGACAGCGGAACCCCTGACCTCGGGAGGTGGTGAGCGCATCTTCAAGAGAAGACTGGACCACCCCGGCCCTCAACCCCCCTCCCCCGTCTGATCTGCTTTGATTGGGATTCCTGCCTTGAGCGGGGGGGGGGGGGTTTGGACTGGATGGCCTTGGAAGCCCCTGCCAACTCCATGATTCTGGAGTGGATGCCGCTGGTGGAAATGTCCCCCAAAACTTTTCTTTCATTGGGGGAATACAACCCCCATAATTCTCCTGCTCAGCCACTTGTGGATTATGCGACTTGTAGTCAGAAGGGGAACTCTTCCAAACCTTTGTTACCAGTGAAGGCTGAGGCAGGTTCTAGGAAGGGGGGAAGGGGGGGCTGAATTTGGGGTGTGTGTGTAGAGAGAGGGATGGCCCTTAGAAAGTTTGGTGCAGCAAAAGCAACCAGCCTGGTGGGGAATTAAAGCAGTGGAAGGGCTGGAGGGGGGGGCCAAGGCTGGGGACCAGTGGAGGCACCGCCAAGGGCATCTAGTTTGCTTTCAAACAAAGCCCTCTTCTCATAGGACACTTTATGCCCCCTCCTCCTGGGGAGTTGGGAGAGTGCCTTGGAAGTCTGGATGGCACTGCCCCCCCCTCCTCAAAGTGTAGGATCGTTCCTATCCCAGGAGCAAACCCGTGTTTCTGTGACACGAGCAGATCTCAGCCCACTTCGGTGCCATCAAGAAAAGCAGGTGCCAAAGAGAAATTGTGGGCCTTTATGGTCCCCCCCCCCCGAGCTCCAGCGGATGGGACAGAAGGTCACCATGGAGACCATTTTTGGTCTTCCCTGTCATGCTGCTGGAACCAAGATTTAGAGCCATCCGTTCAAGGGCTGACCACCAGGGCTGGGTCGTGTTTAGACGGCTCAGCCAAGACTCAGAAAAATCTGGGCCAAAAATCTAAGGCAGGACCAGCACAAGATTGGCCCATGGCCAACAATGTCCTACCTCGTAGGGATGTTGTGAGGGTAACGTGGGCAGGAGAGCAGGAGCAACCTCAAGGAAAAGCAGGATATCAAGGAACTCATAAATAAGAGAGTAAACACTTCTCCACACGGGGTGTTGTTAAACAGTGGAACTCATTGCCACAAGCTGTAGTAATGGCTGACAAGTGGGGCACTGTTAAAAGCGTGTTAGGCAAATACATGGGGAAGCAGAAGAGAAGGAGGAGAAGTTTCCCAAAGATGTTACTTTTTGGGAACAGAACTCTCAGAACCACTAGTCAGCGTGGCCAGTGGTCAGGCTGCCTAGGGGGAATCCTATGAGTTGAAAGATAACTTTTCAAGACCCTGGACCTTAAGGCCCATCACTCCATTTCAGCTTAACCCGCTGTTAGATAAAATCTACTGCTTTATTTTGTTGTCCTGAACTCCCTAAAGGAAGAGTAAGATAACATGTAAGGAAAAGCAATAACATTAAGCAACCAAATGATTACATATTAAGGTAGCTGACCAATTAAATATTACCAAGCTGATTAATTCTTGCCCTTTGATCTGAACAATTAGTTTAACCCCCCAAAAAACGAAATGGCGCATCAGTCTACCTCATTACAACCTGATCCAACCAAAGTGGAGTTTTCTTGTTTTCTATTTTCCTCCCGGTCTCTCACTGAAATAATAATAATAATAGGCCAAAGTGTTTTTTTTTTAAAGCTAGAGAAATATACCCGGTGTGCCATTTTTTAATTTGCAACTGCACTGATTAAAAATGACCACACCCTAATTCATCAGTTCAAGTATTCATTGATTAATTTCCTGACAAATCCTTGCTACCCTGTTTTAAGATACATGAATGAAGTCTGGTTTATTTTCCTTCCCCTGCAACAATCCAGAAACCGGGGTGTTATTTCTAGGAAGCGTTGGTTCTGTCTTTTGGAAGGCTGCTTCTAGTTCTGCAAACGTGCCCCCCCTCAATGGCTGAAAGCAGGTGAGGAGGGACAAAAATATAGCATCCCTTCCCCCCCCCCATGCCTCCTACTGGATGCAAGTATTTAAGTTACAAAGCACAAGACTTGTATGTTATGTTACGTGCTGCCAAGCTGCCTCTGACTTATGCTGACCCTAATAAAGTTTTCAAGATATGTTTGATATTTAAGGCGTCATTTTATCTGTGCCGCCACCCCAGTTGACTGGGTGAGCAGGATTTGAACCCAGGTCCCCTGGATCCTCGTCTGACACTCTTATCCACTACACCAAACTGGCTCTCACTGTTCTTCCAACTACAGGGTCCTAAAAGCAGCAGCCGTTGCGTGTATCAAAGTCTATTTCTCCCCCCCCCGCCCCATCCCACCTTAGTAAAGAGCAGATTCCTCAGCAAAGCTGGTGGATTCTGGGAGTTGTAGTCCAAAAAGGCCACTTCCCCAGCTTCTGTTCTTGTGTTCGTAAGAGTGCCATGGTGCTCAAGAGTATCTGTTTCTCTGTGTGGATGGAGAAAAAAATAAAACAGGTATGGTTTAGTTCTGTTCTGCTTTGTTTTAGAAAGAGCATCTCAAGAGCTCAAGCGAGGCAAGAGGTCAGGTTGTAGGCGTGTCACACCACAAAATATGGAATACAAAAGGGATACTGAGTCCCACTCAAAGGAGGAGGAGGAGGATTGGATTGACACACAGGTGTAACCCATTCCTGATTCATGAATCAATGGACTAAGATCAATCGGGTGGAATAAACAAGACACTCACAGACCGTCCTGTAATTTCCCCCACGGGAGGCTCAGTTCCACAGTCTCAGACGTCCTAAAGCAGGAGTCGGCAATTTGTTTATCAACAGGGCACACAGCATGCAAAGGTGAATGGATTGGAGGGGATTCTGAGATTTGTTATCCACAAAACTGTAACTTTTTGAACACATGAAATATCTGTTTTTGAATGGCTTCGCCCTTTGGACCGGCTTTGTAAAAAAACAGCCATGGCATCAACTCAGAAACAGAACATTTCCCATTTTCTTTTTCTCCATCCTGATGTTGTCCCAGACTGGCTTCCCAACCCCATCTGGAGATATTTGGCATTGTTTCTCTCTGTATGCGGCTTATAATACAGGCAGCAAAAAAAAGTTGAGTTGAAGACAACAGGGAAGGAGGAAGACCAAGTATGAGATGGATTGGTTTCCAGAGGAAGCCACGGCCTTGGCATTTGCAGGAGCTGAGCAGGACTGGAGGCTACTAGTTCATAGCAATGCCGTTAAGTCAGAAACAACCTGTCCCCCCATAATAATAGCAACTAGGTGAATTTGAACCTAGCCTTTCAATGCTAGAATCTGAACCTAGCCCTAGCCTCCTGTAGGTCAGTCATAAGCAGCTTCTTTAACACAAGAAGATTTCAGTCCGAGAATCCAGCCACTCCTAATCCACTGCCTTTGAAATGTGTTTGACTACAATGCCCATGGCTCTGGTGGTGTGGCTACCTGAAGAATGAGGGGAGTTCTGGAGGAAATCCTCTGGAGGCCGGCATCTTGGTCCACGTGGTCAGGAACATCAACTACCCACCGTTTCATTTTGAAGCCTAGTAGTGTTTGTGCAGTTATGTGTGCGTTACTTTTTTGGCGCAACAACACCCTCTCTCCCCCGCCAGATATACAGATTGTGACATCCTCTCTGAGTCAGACGGGTGAGGATATACATCAGCTGCCTCTGGGCAAAAAACGGGGACGTCTTGCGTGTGTGCGCGCGCAGCATCCTATTCAACCTCACACCCAGCCAGCGAGGGACTCTCAGGCCTCACCTGCCCTGACTTTTCATGGAGAAAAACCTTGGATACAACTTGGATCTC